CTCTCTCTCTCTCTCTCTCCAGTGCATCTCTTGTGCGCAGCTCGTGTGTGCAGCTGTGGGTGTGGTAATAGGGGGCAGGGCAGGGAGTGGGGCCCAAAAGGAAGGAATGGTGGTGAATAGAGTCCATGGGAGGCTTTTGTTTTCTTGATCATGCAGCTTATTCCCCTCGCCCCTCCCCAAATTAAGTATCTTTTTTAACTTTTAGAGCAAACACACTCTGGGCATTTTCTTCACATCACAGCTTACATCAGATACTCGGAGATTGCGCTGTTCCTGTTCCTGTGGGCCTCACGGCGCATGCCAGGTAGTCAATATATTAGTACAGTAGTATATGCCTTGGAGCTCTAAGTGGAATTAGAAGAAAAAATATAATAAAATAAAAATGCGTGCTGGACAACCCAACTGTTCGATTCCCGAATGGCGCTGTTGATAATGTCCCTTTGCGGCGTCGTTTTCGCCGCGAAAGAATGAATGGCAATTGTGTCCCTTTGCGGCGTCGAGCTATTGTACTGCGAAAACGACGAAAGGAGAATCCCTTTGCTTATAGCCTTATTGAGACAATTGTAAGCAAGCATGTGCACTTGTTGGGCTTCATCCTAAGCCACAAAAGATTTTCCGATGAGTGGATCGTGAGCTCGAATATGGATGGAATCACATCGATTATGATCTATGCTACCAGCCTGTCTGCACCACGGACGTCCATGAGTTCACACAACTTCACAGATGTCCAGAAATTCGCCGACCTCTGTGAGGGGCCCGCGGCCAATGTGTGGGGTCCCGGTGGTTTTTTAAGTCACACTTACCGGTTTCCATCTTTCCAATATATATATATGTCGTCTTTCTTTGGTTCGCTATCATTTGAAGCTCCAGCAAAGTGTCTGTCAGGAAAAGAAAAAAAAAAAGTGTCTGTCAGAAAGAACAGCTGTTCTGTTCTGACAGGCACTTCCCGAAAACCTGGAGGAAAAAAGGAGGGACGATACTTTTTTAAGGAAGGAGAGGGGGGGAGGGGGGGGGAGAGAGGTTGGGAAGGGCAAAGAAGGTTGTCCAATCATATGATTGATTGAATGATCTGCAGACTGCTATGCTCCCTACGCCACCCCAAAATCACGTGCAGGACTGACTGCCAGCGATAAGATAATGGTGTGTAGGTTTTCAGGAAACATCGGGTTGGGTTTTGGTTTTTTTTTTGGGGGGGGGGAGGAGCGGGAGAGGGGGGGGGGGGGGGGGGGGGGGGGGGGGGGGGGGGGGGGGGGGGGAATAGTGGGGGGACAGGAGTTGGGTTGCTGTAGTATGCTGGTTGTCTGATTGTGTGATTGATTGGATGGCCTACTCTGGCTACTCTGGCTCCTTCTGCTCCAACAATCAATGCAGAACTAAGGGCACACAGTTGGACTTTCTCCGACTGATCTGCGGACGTAATGACGGTCAGATGCATCCAGAGGGTCTGCAATTGTGGTCAGATACATCCGTGAAAGCTGGATTGTGAGTATGCTCTAAGTCAATTGATGATTTCTGAGCTTTGACAAATTGCCCATGGTTTCGTTCTTTGTTTCTCCCCCCCCATGTACAGGGTCCATCAAAGCAGAGCTGTCTAAGACAAATTGCCCCCTCCCCTTGTTTCTCCCTCCCCTTTCCCCCTCCCCTTGTTTCTCTGCCATTTCTGAGCTTTGACAAATTGCATGCTTTCGTTTTTTTGTTCCGACAGTCACTTTTCGAAAATGTGGACGAAAAAAGGAGGGAGGAGACTGTTTTGGGGGACGGGGAGCAAGGGGAGGGGGAAATAAGGTGATCATCCCCTCATATCATTTACTGAATGATCTGCACACGGCTGTGCTCCCTAACACACACCAAAACCGTGTGTAGGACTGACTACCGTCTTCCCCCGAACATAACGCACCCTAAAAATGAATGTATACAAGCTATATATTTCTGGCCAGATACAGCCAAAATAAGGGTGCGTTGCGTTCGGGGGAAGACGGTAGTATGACCCATATCATAATGGAATGGTTTTACGTTCGTCACGAGACATGATAACATGATTATGTAACATATCTGCTTTGTTCCTTCCCCCGAACACAACGCACCCTTATTTTGGCTGTATCTGGCCGGAAATATAGCTTGATAACATGATAATATGATAACATGTTCCTTGTTTTTTTTAACTTTTTTTTGTCTTCTTTCTGGAAATGGATCACCCGAGCACCTGTCAGAAGGGCCTTTCTGACTGTGTCCTTCCACAAATAAAGGAAAGAGAAAGCCAGGAAGGAAGGAAGGATGGAAGAAAAAGCATTGTTTGGTACACCCATGAGCTGTTGAAATACAGACACAGACCCAAGTTCGAATCCAGATGCGCAATCAAAAAATGGACACAAAAATCATTTTGAATTACCTGGACCGGTCGGCTCAACGATGATTAACTCATTACAACAGGACACACGCCACTTGACTGTGGAAGGGGCCCCACAATGCACTTTGTTTCCCCTTGGCCCCTCCGCTCCCCTCCCCGTCTCCACTCTTGGTGGGGGGGGGTTTCCCTCGCCACCCTTCCTTTTTTATTTTGGCAATTCTCCACGCACATAAATGCTGCTGTTTTTTTTTTGTTTTTTTTTTTTGTTTTTTGTTTTTTTTTTAAAGAAGTCCAGGATGTTGTAGAGGCTAATTACCAGGCACACAGGGATCACCCGGAGCGATGAGCCTTCGCAGTCCTTAGATACGAGGTCACCTCCCACCCTACCACTCGTCAATACTCCCAGCGTACCCCCTAACCCAACTATCTTACCTCAGTGTAACCCACTCAGGATCATCACCCAACCGATAGGTGGGGTGATAGGCACCAAGGCTAGCTATTACCCCAGCCCCAGTGGAAGCGAAATTGGACAGGCCTCGCTGTACGGGAACTTTGGACGCTAGGCACCACTATATTCTACCAACCTCGTATCCTTATTGTAGAGATCATAGACCCCTGGGTTTTATTTTCGGGGACAGCTAACTAGCAGTCAGTACCCCAGCCAGACAGCCTACTGTCCTTCCCCTAGCTTACCCAAGGCCAGGCGGAACTCAGACTGACAGTCCTACCGTCCCTCCCCTATCTTGCCCCTGTCTTGGCTAGGTGGAACTCAGACCTGCTGGGGTAACTACCGTATTCTATACCCTAGAGTCTAAGTCTATTCTACCCCTCCCCCAGTCAACTGTAGATGCATGTAAGCCCTTAGGCCATATGTATGTGCTCAGGAAGCCATGGATGTAGGCTATTTATGATGTATGTGTATATATATCCAGAAGCCAGTTGTATACCCGATGAGATGTAACTGGAAGACTTAACCGTATGATCAACAATCGGAAATAGCACGTGTGTGTGGTATATCAGACTGGGGAGGAGAATCGAACGACCAAGACCAACACCCCAAGCAAGCCCTGCGGAACCTAGAACCAGCATACAACACCCGGGACTTCATCCCCTGACCAATAGAGGCAGGGTCTGTAATCATAACCATGCAGTGGTCAGAGGATAGTGTATGTCCAGCCGTGCGTCATTCTAACACCCTGCCGGTGTCCATGCGCAAGGCTGCAGATTTGAACCCACAACCTCATACCACAATGCGCATTTCCAACGGGTGCTCTAACCACTGAGTTTGGGCAATTCTCCACAATGAGGAAGGTCGGACCACATTGCACTTTGCCCCTCCTTCGCCACCTTGGCGAAAAAGTTCCGTCTTCACCCAATAGAACGCCCAGTAATTGTCCCCGTATGTGGGCTGACAGTTGTGCCAAATACAGGTATAATGACCGGGCGTTCTATTCGGGTGAAGACGGTAGTGAAGTTGAAACTCAAATTGCGAGCTCGTAGACCCCCATTGACTCAACAACACAGTAATCAGCAGAAGCGACCAAGTAATAGCCATGAACAGATGTGAAATATTAACAATATTGGTGTCGTCTACGATACTGGTCAGCGGACTCAGCACATAATGAAAACTCAAGGAGAGACAATGCCATCCAAATTCAATTGCAAATCAAATAGGAGGAGGAGAAGACAGAGTGGAACTTGGGGCGGGCGGCGCGGTGCGACCGGGAGCGCCGCGCCGCTCCGTTATCGGCCGGGTCCGTTGCGTGCCCGCGGTGCTTCGTTGACTTCGTTTTTGGCGGCTCGTCCTCAGGCGATCTCACTTGCGCAGATGGGTGATGGTGGTTAGGGAATCTTCTGCCTAGTGCATGGTGTATATCTTGAGTGGCCATCGACATGTAGGCTGCTACTTGGACGCTCTTCCAGCTCTGCCAATTAGGGAAAGTTGTCTTCGGCTCTGCGCTTCGTCCGAGTGGTGTCGCAGGTTGGCACGCTGGCGAAGGGGAGATTATCGTTGGAAGAAGGATGATCCCCATGAGTTTTTTTTGGGCCATATTTGAGGCCTTGTTCCTCCGATCCTGCGCAGTGTTGAGGAGGGTGGTTGGGAATCGCGGGCGGAAAGGGAGGAGCGCGTTCTCACGTGGAGTGGGAGGAGGAAGATCGTTCAAGTGCGAGCATCCGGAAGGGACTGCGATGACTTTTTTTGCTCCGATTAGTTGATGGGCCCACTGTATAGGGGAAGGGTGCTGCTCGTCATCATCATCATCATCATCATCATCAATAGGGCGCGGTTCAACATCATCATCATCATCATCATCATCATCATCAATAGGGCGCGGTTC